AACCTTGAGATAAAAAAATATTTACTAATATACTAGTACGATAACAGTTCTGTAGTTTTTGTTTCCGTTGTGCAATAAAAAGCGCAATTTTAGCATTCGATATACTGTCGACTAAAGACCCGAAAGGCGCTGAAAATGTGAGAATGGAAATAAGTTTTGCTAGATTTATTGTTTGTACTCTTCTTAATTAAGTAAAAATACAATTTTGCGAACAGTTTCAGATTACATCAGAATGAATTTATGTGTAAAATTTCTGCATTTAACTGAATAATAATAAGTAAAAAATTAACAACCGAATCTAGAACTCTGAGTAAAGTTGCCCTATCAATAGAAAATAGTCCCACAGCTGTAAATTCGGGCCTGCTTTGCCTCACCACATAAATTAAAAATTTTATATTTTCATGTTTCAGCTTAATTCTAAAACGATTTTCCATTTTCGACAACAAAATTAACAGTTTGTCATGTTCTTGTAAGATTGAGTCACACAAAAAAATTACAGTTGTTATGGAAGCCTAAAACTGAAAACGTCAATATATTATCCAAGAGGAAAATGAAACAAAATCACTCACGACAAACTGTAACAACGTCACCGTCTGTGACATAAGATTCAGTGCAAGCCCACCGAAACTGTGAAAGTCAAAAGAACCATTGTTTCTTACGAAAATATCTAGAATCGTCAGCATTCTCGTGCCACCAGAAATAACATTTAGAACTATGCTCCAACCAAATATGTTGTTGAAAATATCAACCGAATGTTTTAAACTGACAGCAATGTATTTAATGTTCTCCAGGAAAAGCGAGAATTGAGTCTTTGATAGTCCTTGATCCATTTTCTTGTTTAAAGTATCGTTTATATATTGATATCTCGCTCGTATAATTTGCAAGAAAATGCAACCCAGCGTTGCATAAAAAAATTGCCACGACATTGTGACAATACTGTATATAGTACCCGACACGATTTTTGGTCCAAAGTATTTCCAGTACAAATAATTTACTGTAACCCCATAAAAACACAGAATCGCTTGCGTTGACAGAAACTGGATGTAATAGAACATCGAAGTGCTTCTTTTAGTTGTGTATTCAACTTCATTTAGCGTCTTTATTAATTTAAACCATTGGTGATATTTGAATGCTTTTAAAACAACTAGTATATAAAAGTCATGGGCATAATATATCAGAACAGATATCCAAACCAAAAGACGCTGTATGGTGGTCAGCTTTCTCATAGCGTTTCTGCTTGCAAAAATATTGTTAACCGATAATGACGTAATTATGAGAAATATGCAGTATCCATGTAGTTTATTAAATAAAATCTGGCATTTTTTAGGAGCGAGTGAAGGTGGGGTAATTGCCAGAACACTTCCGCATTTAAATATAAAATTGATTACTTCTAAGTCCATGATATTTGTGAACCTATACAAATTCAACTATTGGATTTAGGAAAATTGGAATAAATCTAGCATTAACACAGAAAGCAGAGATTTAATAAGGTGATACTTTTGTTTGTATGTCAAATTAATGCAGCGTTTTAACTAGGTGGAGATAAATGTAATAATACTGCAATTAAGTGATTGGCGATAAAATCTTCGAATAATACCATAATTTGACCAGAGGAAAATTTTACGTTAATAATGCTACCATTAAATAAAGATATTTCTACTGATATAAAAAAAATACTTATTTTTTCACTTGCTTTTGTTTTCAGTTTCTATAGTACTATATATAGAGGTCGCTAGAATGCGTGGGCATAGTTAAATATCTCGAGAACCAATTATACAAATCAGCGGAAATTAAATATAGGGGTACAAGAAGTTGTGCTGTAATTATTATTCGTGAAAAAAAAATTTAGTCAATACATTTTTTAATAAAACTTTTTCTTCTGAATTAACCAATAATAACCGAAACCAAAATTAAACTCGTTTTCTACAAAAGATGCCCGAAATACTTTCCATTTATCTGTTTCTTGGCAGTAAAAAATACACTGAATAAAATTTTGTAGTGAATTAGTGAGAATTTCTGGCTGTTAAAAACTGTGCAAGTTTGTCTTGAACAACTTGAAACTTGTATGCACAATCAAACCACAAATTATAAGGTTTGATTTTGCAAATCTACTTCAAAAATAAAACAATTGCTTCATTATCCACATGGAGCTACGCATTTTGCTAAATCAAAAAGTATCTCAGTGAACTTACGTCTTTTTCTAAATCAGATTTAACATTCCTGAACTCGGAAATAGACGCCTATACCCGGAGTCTCCGAGTCAAAATACCTTACTTTGTCACTCTAAATGGGATTTTTTGGACTGTACTTCAGGGGGCGAGGGAAGTCCTGTCGAAATAACCTTCGAGCAATTTTTTTTACAAAAATCTGGAACGTTATCTGGATAAAATAAAAAAAAATATTATTGTAAATTTTGGAAATGACATGATTCTATTAGTTAACGTTTTGCTATCTACATGATATTCCTAATATGCATTCAAAATTTGACAACAACTGGTCCAGTAGTTTCGAATAATTTTCCACGTTGCGAGGAAATGCCTCGATGATATAATCTTTAACGTTTCGAGAAAATAGATCCCGGTGATGTAATCTTTAACGTTACGAGGAAATGCCTCGGTGATGTAATGATGATAACGACAATAATAACGATGATAACTGCCTAAGGGAAGAAATTATTTCAATAAGCCGCCAGTTCACGATATTATGAATTCCGCTTTTTACTTTTACGATCTTTTCCCAGAGTGGAGCAACGTTAGATTGATTTAACTGCCGTTAATGAACTATTAGCGATCTTGGGTAAGAAATTAAGAAGTGTAATAATGTGACACTTAAGTATATGCATCCAGAAACTTATTTATAATCTGAGAAACAAACGACTGAGTCCTGACTAAGTGAATTTCATGAAATCTCCTAGTAAGTATTTATCTAAGCAAGTTCCTGATTGTTAAATTGTGTTAGAACTAGTTAACGCTTAAATCCCTAACATGAACTGTGAATTTACAAACAATGAATTAACTTTACACGTGCTAGCGTCTGTCAAAAATTCACTTTTTTCCGATTAGAAAGCCGTAAGAATTACCTCCGCGTGTTGGGGAAAACTGTACCAAGTCAACTAATTGAACCTAGCTAACTTACAGCGTCTTTGACTATGCTCTCATTCTCGAAACCAAACCAACAATGACGCTTTCACCTCTCTAACAAGCCGCCATCTTCCACCCTACCAACCATCTAACTAGAATCCCCTAGCGAGCTACCAACTACCCAAAAAGCGTTAACATACACATGGTTGCCTAGGTTTAACGATTTTTTTTATTGAACTTTTTTTTAAACCCAAATTATTTAAATGTGGTTTCGCGCCGCTGTTAATTTTTTTCACCGCGGCATTTTGATTCAAATTCGGTCACCACAATATTTTCTTCCGTTATAATTAATTAACACAAAAAATTTTTTTTAGACAAGTTGTATATGTACATATGTAACAATATTTATTTATCACTGGGAAAAATAACATGTAAATATCGCACCAGATGTTATGTAGACTTTCAAATAAGGTTGAGCAATAAAATGGGTACACAAAGTTGTTCTATTTTTTTATGTGGGGAAACCATACATAACTTGTAATATCAGGGTCGGACCAAATTTGTAAAGACTAAATCGAGATCTTGATTTTATGTTCACCCTAATAACGAAACTGGTGTTTCAAAGGAAGTGTCGTTTGTGTCTATAAACTGAGCTAACCTCAACAAAAATTTCCAATTTTATTACAACCTAGAATCGACGTATACGCATTGAAGTCTAGGCGTTCAAACACAAAAACCCGCATTTTTACTTCCCGGGCGTAAGCAAAGCCACTTCACAATTGTACATAGTAAATGGGTTTCAAATTGTATCAAAAAACATAGTTTTACACATGTAGTTTATGATTCCCAATTGAGATTTTACCCGAAATGTGCAGATTTTTGGAAAAAAAAAATTTAATTTGGAATCTGCAAAATTGAATGCTTTGACGCATCTTAATCGTTAAAAGCCCTTAGGCTTACCACAGGCTTTAGATATCTCAATTCATGGTCCACAAAAAAAGCCAATTGCCTTATTATAACCACTTTAATGTCCACAATTTAGTTTATTTTAATTTTTAATACCATTATTTAGTGGCGTTAATGGCTAACTCTACTTTGTATTATCGTGTAGACATACTGAATAAACACTTAAGATAAGTGAATTATGACACAAATTCGCAGAAATAAAAATGAAGGTAAACTTTTGCAATTTGTTGACAAATTTCTCACGAAAATACGAGCAAACATTACAGTTTTATCGTTATCTTAAACCTAGCTTTTAAAATATTTACTTTTATCAACGAATAATCGATAAATTGTGTACCAAACTAATAACAGGCGTAGCTTTTCGAAAAATGGTTTTTATAAAGAACGTTAACTACAAACTCAAAGTATCCAATCTTATTCTTTTACTACAAGAAGCTTTAAGAGCGTTAATTTACTCTTAATTTGAAAGTAGATTAATAGATCCGAGGCAGCAAACCTTATTGGGTCGTATGATTTTCTTTTCGTTGTCATTTAATATCTAAAATTTTGATTAAAATGAATGACAAAATACGATAAAACCTCTGTCAGACAAAGAGAAAATATTTTACGAACGTCTCGAAATATCAATTAAAGGAAAAAAATATGGACCAAGACGGAAAACAAAAAAAATTTTTTTTGTTGTTTTATTATCTATGCAACAATTCTAAATTATAATTACAGTTTGTTAGTAATCTTTTCAGTAACAGGCGTAGTTTTCTGAAAGAAGCATGAAATAAAATATTTGTTAAATGAATCCTATTCAAATACAGTAAAAACATCTATCAAAGTTAAACGTGAGACATCATAAAACAATATTTTTATCTTTCATATCTCCAAGGTCGTGATAACAATAATCGATCATGTATATATGTTAACCCCACCTTCAGAATAACATGCTATTAACGGGCGTCGTTTAAAATAAAAACCATTTGAGATTAAAGCAGTACGATTGAAGTTCCGAACAATAATTATGAAGTACTTAATAAATTAATAATACACTTGCAACATTTTTAAAAAAGTTTTTTGCCTCTGAAAATATTAAAAAAAGGTGAACCTCGCGACGGGTAAGTTGAAAATTACTATATGACTAGTTTACTTAATTTGAATGCTCTTTTTTCAGCTGATAGATTAAACGTTGTCATCATAAACTCGAGTTCCGATAAAGAGGAAATCAGGAAAATGGAAGAAGAAATAAAACGGAAGAAAGAGCAAAGAAAACACAAAAAACAACTTGAAGAAATGAAAAGTGGGCTCTTACATACTTCGCACCCTGAAGAGGGCACTTCTTATTCTTCCCCAAAGGTATTGTAGTTTTGGATCTGCAAGAGCATACTTTCAAATCCATGTTAATTGTAATTAACTAATCCAGTGTTAATTGACAATTGTAATAAGTTAGATGTGTTATAAGTTTAAGAAAACAAAGTTTTATGTAACTTGCCTGCAGGGTTCGATAACAAGCACGCAGTATTTTTTTTTCTTCGAAATTTGAAATTTTTTGGGCATCGTGTTGTTTTTTGCTAGTCATTAGGCTTTCTTACATAATTTTTACAATAATATCGCCAAACCTTAGCATATTTTATATTTCTTTTGCAAGACATTGGTTTAAAAAAAATGCTTGAAAGTTATTTCGCCCTTGAAGTATAGTCTTTATAGTCCGACTAATCCCGCTTCATAACTCGGCAGAATTATAAGATGACGTCATCATTTTTTGGAGAACACATAAACGAATAAATTTTGGTTAACGACTTTTCTTGTTTACTATAACTTAAAGCATTTATAATTTCAAAATCTAAAAAATAAACCAGTGCAGGTATATTTTATTCTATAAAGTTTTAGGAAAAACTATAAAATGACGTCATCATTTTTTCGGGGGGCATAAAGTAAAAAATCTTGATTAACGATTTACGACCCTTACGATAACGTTAAAACGCTTTCATGGTTTTAGAACATTAATTTCTTCAATTTCAAATTTAAATCGTCAAATGTTGTTATATAATTTTGATTTCTTTCACAAAAATCTGGATGTTTCGGGTAAAAACTCGGATTCATGGACTGCATGTATAGGGCTATGTTGTTTTGATACAATTTAAAACTCACTTACTATGGATAATTGTGAGAGGACGTCATCACATTCTTGGTGGGGACAAAATTTGGTTAACGTTTTACCATCTACTTGATATACGTAACGCATTTATAAACAACAATCGGTCCAGTAGTTTCGGAAATTATCTGTTTAGCGAAAATTGACACAGACAGCGGACAGAGAGACAGACGGAAACGAGAGATCTATGTACTTCCTCGGGAAGTAAAAATACTTCAAGTCGAGGTAAATTCTGTCGAAATAACCTTCAACCAATTTTTAATTTATATAACTGAACTAAATTTTCTGCGCTGAGTTCGATCCCAAACGTGAAAATTACAACAAAGTACGCAAGGCTGGCGATCGGTTTCTTATTTATCGTTAGTCATCGTCATCATCCAATGGTCACATATCGAAAAATTTATGTTCTGTTGCATCAAATTAGCATGTTTGCGAAAACCTTTTCTTATAAAGTTTTCCTTATGCTTACAATTATAATTTATAATTATAGTTATAAGTATAAATTGTAACAGTTATGCTGACGGCTTAGAACCTTACATTGACAAGCAGAACTGACTTTCTGTCACGCAAATTGATTCATTTTGCCCATGAATAATTTAGAAATTTTGGCTACTTTTGGCAATACAGAAGATGTACAGAACTACTTAGTGCATCAGTTAATACAAAAAGAGTTAACAGAAAAGCGTTATTCATATACGTGTGTTAAATTCAACATGAATAGCATTCCGCCAGAAAACTTTCGTTTTCTTTTTCGATTTGAAAAAGAACATATAATTAAATTACATCAAGCTTTGCAAATGCCTGCAAAATGGGTTACACCAGATGGTCATGTCATTGAAGGTTTATTATTATCTACAATCGAGAAGAAATTCCGTATTTTTAAACACTCTTCATTTATAGGTCTTGCAGGATTATGTCTCGTTTTAAGACGATTTTCTTACCCAAACAGACTAAAAGGATTGCAAAATGAATTTGGATTACATTTTTCGTCAATCAGTAAAATTTTAAAGTTTGTTGTTACTTTTATATTCAAGAAATGGGCCAAGTTATTATTAAATTTTGATAAAAACATATGGTTAACGCAAGGTTTTCTCGCAGAGGTGGCTGCCTTCGCACATAAGAAAGGTGCTTCTTTAAGAAATTGCATTGGGTTTATCGATGGTACTGCCCGGGCAATTTGTAGACCATCAAAATTTCAAAAAGAAGTTTACAGCGGACATAAAAGAATACATTGTCTGAAATTTCAATCAATCACCGTTCCAAACGGTATCATTTTACATTTAAGTCCTCCGTATTCTGGCAGACGACATGACTCTTTTATCCTTAAAAATTCAAAAATCTTAGAGCAAATGAAGCTCCATTGCCCACAGTTTTGTTTATACGGTGACGAAGGGTATCCATTAGTGCAACAATTAATAAGACCATTTTCTAATCATAATTTAACAGAGCAGCAACAAATGTTTAATACCAAAATGTCCAAAATACGCCAATGCGTAGAATGGAGTTTTGGTAAAATAACAACGCAATTTGCGTTTGTTGATTTTAAAAAAAATCAAAAACTTTTTCTGCAACCAATAGGTCAGTATTATATTGTGGCTGCATTACTAACGAATGCGCATACATGTTTTTATGGAAGCACAACTTCTCGATACTTCGATATAGAATCACTAGATATTATGGAATATTTTCAATAATTTCTTTTTAATCAAACAATTACCTTTAATTAATATGTTATTATTAAATAAACATTTAAAAGCTGTAATTATTTCAAAAATTATGTCAGATTTTTATTATTTAAATTTTGTGTTAAAATGTTTTCCAAAAATCTGTTTAAAATTGCATTTTTTTGTCTTTCTATTTTACGGCCCTCTTCCTCCTCTTGCCATTTTTTCTGTTCGAACTCAAGTCTAGCTTTTTTGAATTCCAACTCTTCTATTTGAATTTTCATATTATCTTGATGTTGCTTTTCTTTAAATCTTAATTGTTCTTGTTGTAGCTGACTTTCCCGTTTCATTTTTTCAATTAAATATGAAAAACTTGTTCCATCTTTAGTTCCATTTCTCGTCTTTCGTGCTGCCGCTGTATAAACCCTGCTAGATTCTTGGTTGAATCCTTCACGACCCCCACGCTCACCATCAATATCAGTGTCATTAAAATCGTCAACAGTGTGAAAAAATATTTCATTGTCCACGTCAGTGGCTTCTGTTTCTAATATTTGTTCACTATTACAACTTTCAATAGGATTGTCCAAACTTTGCAAAGCAGCTTGGCGAATTGCTTTTGCAGGCATAACCTCGTCGAATTTTTGGCCACTGCATCTTTTTTTACCCCGTTCATTTTTTTTATTTTCTATGTCAATTTGTGCCACATCTTCATATTGCGACCAGACAGTCAGAAGTTTTCTAACAGCGTCGCCCCACTCAGTCTGTATCCGTTCTTTCCCACTTTCTGTAGCTTCGTCGGCATCAAATTTTCTAAATTTTATTACTTGTTCCAACATATGATCTTTTAATAATTTGAAGCTACAGTTCTGAAAGCGCTCTCTTTCGTCTTCACTTACGATTGCATGAAGTTTTTTCCACACATCTTCTTCGTTTGTAAATTCAGTCTCGCAAAGAAGGTCGAATAATGCATTCAAACATTTTATACGTTCCCTCTCTGAGAATCGAAATCGTTTCTTTTTCAGTTGCGACATAACTAATTAAAGTTCTAAATGACACTGACTGACATTGTAGAAAAATTCTACTATTGTCAATATAAGAAGTAACGATTGTGAGTGTTATAATTATAAGACATAGTTATAAGGATAAGTGTAAGCATAAGAAAAAATTTATAAGAAAATGTTTTGCGCAAACACGCTATTATGTTATTATGTTTAATGTTAAATTTATATGCTTATAGATAATTCGAGGTTATTTTTTTCAGCAGGCAGATTTCGCAACAAGAGATACGCCAGACCAACAAGCTGAGGGATTAGGAAACAATCAACACGTTAAACATCTGACTGAAGGAAGTAGGCATGCAAAGGGCGAAACAAAATTAGAAAATGTAGGTAAATTAGTGCAAGTTAAGGAAGTATCGTAGTAGAATTCCCCTTACGAATGGCCACTTTCTATTTTCTCGACGTTTCATGATCATGATCTCTAGAGTACGAAAAAAGCGGTCTCCCGTTTCCGGTTGTCCTTCTGTCTGTCTGTCGTCTGTGTCGGTTTTTATTAACCAGATAATCTCTGAAACAACTGGATCGATTCTTGCCAAATTTTGTATGTACATATACATATTAAGAACGTCACTCATGGACTAATGAGACGAAGTGTGCTACGAAATTTACAACAGTGTTTTTTTAAATTCTATAACGTATGATACGCCTGCACTTGTGGTGTATGAATCCGTGTTGAGTTTTTATATTTTTAGAAAAAAATCGAAATTGTATAACAACATTTTGCAATTTAAGTAACAAATTAAAACCGAATGTTCTGGCATCTTGCAAATGTTTTAAGGTTATTATAAACATGAGAAATCGTTAATCAAAATTATTCCGTTTATCCTTTTCCAAAATTTTGTATATAATTTCTGCGTCGTCAGCTGTCATCGATTAAATTTTAGGTTAATTGTAGACATATTTCTAAAGTTTCAAAAATCAAGGCCAACTTGATGACATTTTCAATTAAACACCCGATATCTTTACTTTAACTTATAGGAGTTATAAAAAAATTGATTCTGTTATAGTTTTTAGAATATGTATGTATTTGTTCGTCTGTACTTCAGAGCCGAAAGAAGTTCTGCTAGTTAATCTTGAACCAATTTTTGTACAGATCTAATTAGGAACACTACTCTCCGTTGTTCTATATTATACTGTACTTGTCGGAATTGACATGGATGTTTTTGCTGAAACGTTGACCGACCGAATTTAGACAAGTTAACAGAGTGTGTTGATAACGTAAAACCGTCGAATCACAAGCAGTGGCAAAGTATCGGTGACTAAAATATGATACGTTAATGAATTCAGAAAAACAAGCTCTAGAAGAATATTTAAAAAATTATATAAAGTGTCGTGTTAAAACAAAATTGGATGTCGTAGACAAACACAAAACACCAGTCAAAGAATATATAGGACATCATTTAGTATCATCCATATATATTTGTTTTAATATGAAGACGTTATCACAAATAAAAATTCGCAAAATCAAATTTTTTATTTTTTCAAAGAAGCGTGATTTGGTGGACTGTACTTCAGTCCTGTCGAACCTTCGACCAATTTTTTGTTATTCTGTACTTTCATTTAATGTAATAATTACACATCTAGAACTGCATGTTAAATATCATATTTTTATCCTTGGTTTCGATATTTGTATAATTATCGATTAATTTTATGTAAGTCTATAATTCTAAGGGAATTATATAATTACATTTTTATTCAAGTTGTTGATTTTTGTTTCAGACTTGTGGAGAACGAATAGGAACTATCGTCTATGGTAAACAATACAAAATTTTGGTTACCGCTAACATCGCACTACAAATGATAAGCGACAGTAAAATAAGAGATTTCCGCATGTCTTCGGACGATCTAAGTTTTGGTGCTTTTGATGACGTGGTTATTGAAATTGAGACAGATAGGGAAATAAAAACAAAAGCACTACGATTA